CACAAGTTTAGCGCCACTGATTTTACCTAGTTATTGTATCTATACATTTTTATTTAATGCTAATTTTTTAAATTATAAAATTATTCCTTTTATGATAACCAGCTCATAAATTAATTGTCATAAGTTCTCTAGTAAATTGACAATATTCAATTGTAACTTTTAAAATGTTTACATATATTTAGTATAAATAATCTCATTTGAATATATGAACACACTAAGTGCAGTAATTTATACTTTATAAATATAGATAATACCTATAATTTTATTTCATACTATCATAGCTTATGTCTTATATAATTATTACCCAATTATATTATATAATATCAGATAAATCCTGTTTTTACAATTTATAGTTGAAATTAATGAATCTGAAACAGCTGATAATCCACATAGAATTATTGAAAATTCAGCATTACATTTATTTGGAAAAAATATATCAGAACTATTAGGTAAATATCAATAATTGTAGTTTATCAATCAATACTTTTTTTAATGGTTTTTCTATACAATGTTTTTGTTATAATTAATAGATGGTTATGAAGATCCAAATATTAACACTGAACTTAAATCATTAGACTCTACTAATTTTATTGGATTAAACTTAACACCAGAAGAAATAATACCTATTATCAGAAAAGGAACTTTTCAACTGGAAAAACATGAACTTATGGAAAATTTTTCCATAAGTTGTATATTTACAAACATAATAACTTAGGAACTTTACTATATGTGTTTCAATTGTGTCATAAAGCAGGGTTGAAAATGTTTTTCCATGCCTTCATGACGCTCTACATATAGCATGCATATTACCTGTTGCCAGTACAACGCCTAAAACAACTTTTTTTAGTTAAAAATAGATTAAAGACAACAATAAAACAAGACCGCTTAGAATAACTATTAATAACGTCATGTGAATCAGATATAGATATTGATAATAGTCAATTTATTGATATATTTGCTAACTGCAGTTCAGTTTATAACTAAGTTATTAGTACAAATTAGTACTAAATATTATAAAAATGGATTTTATTATTATTATTATTTTAAGGAATGTTTGAATTTATTTCTGATTATAAGGCTTATATATTTGATTAGCCTGCATTAACATTATTAATTCACTGGTAGTCTTTGGAAATAATTGAAGTGTGTGTAAAAATATTATTTCTTTAAACTTAACAACAGGAGTGGTGTTAGTAGTCTTATGTCATTTCAACTATAACATGGTGGAGAGTTGGGCACTATTGCACAGAGATAAGAGATGGAAGTGAAATTTGAATTGTTGATAAGCCCAAGGACTTTGAGGGCTATTAATTAATTGTAGTGTTAATATGGAATTCAAAGGAAAGAGAAAAAGAGAAGTAGATACCTAGATTCTTAATAAGGGAGACTTGGTTAATTAGAAAGCCATTAAGAAAATAGAAGTGTGATTTAGGAAATTGATTGCAAGTAAAGAACATAGTATGAATTTTTTTAATATTAAGGGAATTAAGGAATTTAGCTGGTTAGTCCAATCATAAAAGGATTGTGATCAGATTGAAGAAGGAGACAGTCAGAGGGAGATGTACCTTTGATGAAAAGTTTAATGTCATCAGCAAAAATAAGGACTTTAGAATAAGAAAGAATGTCAGGTATAGAGTTAACAAACAGGATAAATAAGAGCGAGCTGAAGTGACCACCTTGGGGAATACTAGAAGATATAATACACAGGTTAGAGTGGACTCCATTAATAAAAACAAATTACCTTCTGGAATTAAGATATGATGACAGTAAAAGAGAAGAGGATTGTCAATACCAAGGTTGTCTATAAGACTGATAAAGGACTGTGGTCAACTATCTCAGCAAAAGAATTATTTCCAAGCACTTCTTGAGGTTTAAAATTAAAACACCATTTATTATTTTGATTTATGGATTTATTTTTGTAAATTTTAAAATTGAAAATACTTAACATTTTGTTTTTATCCATTTTAGATTTTGACTTGTATGTTTTTAGTAGTACGACGTAGGTGAGTATATGGAAAAAACAAAATATAATTATTGTGAATGGAAATTGTTAACTACTGAACTCATAAACCTATAAGCAATAGCATTATGACTAATGAATAGTAAGTAACAAAAGTGGAAATTGAAAAACAATCAAGTATTCAAAGTAATGATGTGATGACTGTGATGTTGTATAACCAAAAACAATTCTAAAAATACATTACTATCGACTATGTTCTAGACAAATTGAAATGTTATGAGTAGCCAGTAGGTAAGTAATGTATTTGTAATACTATTATTAAACCTGTATTATGTTGAATGTTCTGTGGGTGGATTTACGCCTTTGTAATTTTTCCTACAATAATTTATGCGCAAACTAGTTGTAACCGTTTGCATACCATTACATCCCGCAGTCCAAAGTGTTTCTCTAATGCAAATAATATATATATTAATAATTACTTAATGTTCAATTTTAAATTTTGAGTAGAGCGAACTACCTATCTTAGCTCTTATTACGATGTGTGCTTTTTCTTTTTTATTTATTTTTAATTTTCTATCTGTAAAAAATTGTTCGTAAAAAAATCTTACTTGGTGTATACAGTGTAGTACTTTTTCTGAAAGGAAATGTTGTCGTGTTGATGCATTACAGATATTGTTTTTTTGATTTTCCGAGGAGTTTTCAACATAATTTGGAAAAACCCGAAAGAAAATTATAGGTATAACGGTAAATATTTACGGCGCGTCGCGTTGTGATGGTATAATTAATTGTACTGGTTAAAAGAATCACACTAACCAGTATAACAATGAAACAACTACGAACTAAGGTATACAGGACTGGAAATGAAGATCAAATCAGTGGATTTAAAATGTTTTCAAACGGTACAACCTGTGTACCTAGCGCTATCTATATACTAAATCAAAAATCAGTTACTTTTAAACAAACCTAAATTTAATTTTTTTTTTTTCATGTTTTTACGTATTATGAATATTAATATAATAGGTACTCACCCACACTTAACAATCAATAATATAAGTACAAAAGAAAATTATTTACACAATTATAAAGTATATAATAGAATAAATTGAATGAATATTCAATGTTCATGGATTGCTGACCATTTTGATAAACTTAATTGTTTTATTTCAATTCAAAACAAGGAACTTTAAGAATAGAAAAAATTGTAACAAAGGAATTTGTGGACATATGAAAAGCTTGTAATATGAATAGAGACTAGGAAAAATATATTAATGATTTTACTAAAACTTACAACTTTATACTAATTTTATTATGTATAACAAATATAAAATATTTGGTTATGTTGTAACAACACATTATTTTAAAATAATAATATATATTTTATAATAATCTTCAATATAAACAAATTATAGGACATAATTAATTATAATTTATTATTTTGTATTTACTAATTTAGCTAAATTTTAGTTTTTTGCATCAAGTTTAATTATACTTTTATTTGTTATTAATGAATACTGTTGCTTTCGCATGATAATAAAATTTGAAATAATTTGTGTACGTACATTTTTTATGTTTAATACAAGGAAAATTAATTCCCAAATCGTTGTCAAAAAAGTCATTGATTGTGATTAAAACAACATAATTGCTTTTACAATATTTGACAAATGATTTTTCAACAGCGGTCAGTAAATAAAAAATCATTTTGATGTGTCTAACCACCATGTGTTTTTAAATTAAAAAAAGTGACTTCCTGTTTACTTGAGTAAGACTTTTATCTAAATCATAGAGATTAGTTACGTATTAACTTCAAATTGATAATTATTTTAAAATTGTTTCGTATACATACCAGTTAACACTGTAAGACAACTATTAGATTTATTTTTTGTTTTTATAATATTTTTTTGTTATATAACCACAAATATAGTACAGAACATAATCTTCAGCTTTTGCTTTATAATAATCATGTTATGTTCATAATCATATGTTGTATAGGTACTTCTATTTCTTTTATCAGTAAAAATCCTATAAGATACGTGATATATTTTCAAATTGCATTTTGTAAACTTTTATGTATCTATTTTTGTCAAATTTTTGCAATAATTATACTAATACGAATACACGTTTACTTATAAATAATACAGTACCTACCCACAGAGTAAACAAATATTTCCATAATATGAACAAATATTTTTAGGAAAATTTTATAGTTGTTAAAATATTTTCGATTATTGTTAAATAATGATATACGTCAATAATTAATACAAATAAACATAATAATAAATACAATTTACAATTTTTTTGTAATTAGTTTAAAGTTAAAAATTATATTTTTAAATAAAACTTGGTTCCCTTTAAGAAAAATTAATTTTTCAAACATTTTGTCCGATAAATTTCATCTACTGGGTGAGTGTACTCTTTACTGTTAGTTTTTAGTTCAGCTTCAATGTGTGTACCGTAAAGAGGTGGTTAGTATTTCGGCTTTGAGCAACATTATTCTTATGAAAGCATGGTCATCAAGTTATTGGACACAAAAAAACAGACATCGATAGGTACATATTTTACATGACAAATAAAATAATTCATTGTTTTTTATAGTAGATATACAAATACATATTTGTATTAATTATACATTTTTTTTTCATAGCAAATAAAACCAATGGCTTATTAGAAACAATCTGTAGACATTTCATTTTGGTCCAGAAGTGTTCCTAATAAGCGGCTTCTACTGTATATACCAAAATTATCCCAATTAAATACGTAGATTATACGTTCAGTATTTACTGGGGCGAACATAAACTTGTATTATATTGTATAAATAGGTTTTTGTTTATAGATGGGTAATTGTTTAAACAATGCAATGTAATGTAGAAAGGATCCCTAACTACGTAGGGAATTCATGAACTATATTTTATTAAAAACGAAAATTCTGTATCAATTTAGTAGTACTCGTGTATCACCACCAGGCAGCAGTTACAATCACAGTTGTACCGAACCGAAACACTTGAGAGTCATTCCTCTACTCTCCCCCAGTCTGTCGTTACCAGTCCTGTATATTTTACTTCGTGACTACAACTCTATGCAGCAAGCATAGATAGTATATAATATATATTCATGGGTATACTATATATGTTTACATTATCTATGGCAGCAACTTGATAGGTATTTGATTCTCGATTAATATTTAATACCAATTTTGATTAGTTAAATGATTATGCGTACCGCATCGTTTAATTAGAAAAACCATACTCTTTTATTTTTCGTCTTATCAAACGATCTTTGTCGTTGTTTTGTATAATTGTGTATAGTTTTGTGAATGACGAACGTGTTTTCTAATGGACAAGAATGAAGTTCAAAATTATTACCAAAATGCATCACGTTTGGCCACAATCATTCAAAGTATCATACCAAAAAATAGGTACATACTCGTTCACAATTAATATTCTACAAAATTTGATATTTAAAAATAACGCACATGTTCATTTAATATTTTTCCTTTTAGATCAAAAGTCTTGAAATGGAATGGTTGGGGTTACAAGGATTCAAAATTTAAAGTCACCGATGAAGGAATGATTCGTTTTACCGGCAAGAGGTAAACACAGTGTTTTATTTGACAATTTGTAAATTTGATTTTTGATTGTATTCACATTTGATATTGTGTAATTGTTTTCAAACAGGTATTCCATTGGAGAAACAGACTTGCCTTTTTTGACCCAATGGGTCAAACACGTCTTAAATATCGACCTGACTGTGAGAAATGTGCCCAGAGAAAAATTTAGTCCTCAAGAGATACCGCCTGCTCATGTTCCAATAGGTAAGAAATTACTTCACAAATTAAGAATTATTATAATATTTAATTATTTTTCCAGATTTTTTAAACGACTTAAAAGAAACTAAAATCGATTATACAATGGATAGCCTTGCTAGACTATCACGATCCCACGGCCAAACGCTTTATGATATTTATTCCCTCCGACACGGTAAATGTTTTCCTCGGATTTCTGATATCGTTGTCTGGCCTGGTATATATATATATATATATTTTTTTTTAATGTTTTTATCTATTATTATGTGAAAATACTTTTTTATTTTACTTTGGCATAGTAAGTCACGAGGACGTAATACAGATAGTCAAAATAGTCAATAAACATAATATTGTTATTATTCCATTTGGTGGCGGAACTAGTGTATCTGGAGCGGTGTCCTGTCCCAAAGATGAAAAACGATGCATAGTTAGCGTAGATACTTCGCAAATGGTAAATTATTTATTTATTTTCAACAATAATTGTTTTAAAGTTAGAACATTTTAAATTTTGTTTTATGAGTCTACATTTAATTAAGTCATAAAATTGTTTCAAAATGCTTAAATAAAAATAACATTAAACTTAATTGTATTAAAATGGATGTGCTTTAATAACATTAAGATTATGATTTAGTGTCTGTGAACAAAATTTTGCATTGCTTTGAAATAATAGTATTTAATTCTCTGTAGATTTACCTTTTTAGATTGAATTTTATTCCATATAACGCATAATAAAAATTCCTACACTTTATTTAGTTAAACACTACCACTAACTATAAAACATTATTTGTTTTCAGAACCGTTTAATGTGGTTGGATGAATCAAACTTATTAGTGTGTTTTGAAGCTGGAGTCATAGGTCAAGATTTAGAACGTGAGCTACACAAACGAGGTTATACATGTGGACACGAACCCGACTCTTACGAGTTCTCTAGGTATTCATTGACATAAAAAAAAACTCGAGTAGCCTTTGTAGCAATCGTTAAAGTAGTAAGTTTCCTTTTTAATTGAATTTACTATTAAGTATTTAACGTTATTATTATTATTATTTTGATTAGTTGATTTAAATTTTGCATGTGTGTGGTAATATTTTTATTTAATTATCAGAATTTTTAGCATTTAACTTGCATGTGTACATTTATAATTAGTTTCTAGTTTATTTTTCTATCTTATAACTCAGTTTAGGAGGTTGGGTCGCTACTAGAGCGTCAGGCATGAAGAAAAATGTCTATGGAAATATTGAAGATTTAGTTATTGATGCAAAAATGGTCACTTCCAGAGGAGTGATAGAAAAAAAAAGTATGGCCCCAAGAATGTCAAGTGGACCAGACTTTCAACAAATTGTTTTGGGGTCTGAAGGTTTGTTGTTTTCCTTTTTCACATTACCTATTTTAAAGTTTTTTACTTATTTTTTTGTATTTCAGGTACACTAGGTATAATTACTGAAGTTGTACTGAAAATTAGACCAATTCCAGAATGCCGAGTTTATGATTCTGTGGTTTTTCCTAATTTTGAATCTGGAGTAAACTGTATGAGAGAAGTTGCTAAACAAGTATGTTATTTTAGCAGTAAACAATTAAATTATTAAATTATAGTTCTATCAAATAATAATATTACTAAAATCTATGTAGAGGTGTCAACCCGTATCCATAAGGTTAATGGACAACACACAGTTCAGATTCGGCGAGGCTCTACGTCCTGTCGAAAATATTTTTGGAAGTTTTTTAGAATCTTTTAAAAAGAGTTACTTGACTTTTGTTCACGGTTTTCAATTAGATTCTATATGCGTCATGACTCTTCTTTTTGAAGGTGATTGTTTTTCAATTAATTCTTTTTTGTATTATAATATTATATTTTTCTCTAGGTAAAAAGTCTGAAGTAGTTTCACATAAAAATCGCATTGCTAAAATTGCTATGTCTTTTGGTGGTGTGACAGCTGGTGAAAGAAACGGAGAACGTGGTTATATGTTAACATTTGTTATAGCTTACATACGTGTAAGAAGTAAACTTTAATTTTGTTTATAAATGTGATATTAATAGAGAAAATGTTTAGGATCTAGCGTTAGAGTACAGAGTTGTTGCCGAATCATTTGAAACATCAGTGACATGGGATAAAACTCTGAGCTTATGCGACAACGTTAAAAAAACTGTAGCGATCCAGTGCAACAGTAAGTTAACATTAAACAGGCCTTTGTATTATAATACTTTATTTGTATTTTTTTAGAACTGAATATCAAATATTATTTGATCAGCTGCCGCATCACGCAGACATATGATTCTGGTTGTTGCGTGTATTTTTATTTTGGTTTCAATTGGACTGGTCTAGATAATCCAGTGTTGATTTATCATCGTATCGAAACCGTAGCACGGGACACCATTATGGCTTCTGGAGGTTCAATATCTCATCATCATGGTGTAGGCAAGCTCAGAGCGCATTGGTATGAAAAATATACATCCGAAACTGTACTTACACTTTATAATACATCTAAAAAGATACTAGACCCAAAAAATGTCTTCGCAAATGGCAATCTTATTAGTGTTCCTCGATCCAAATTATGATTGGTCGTTTAAATAAATTCTAGTCACGTTTTAGTTTGTAAAAATCAAATTGACGATTCGAAAATATAATATAATATAATTTTTATATATTAATGATGATACATATTATTTTTATTTTGTATTTTTAACCTATTTGAAAACACTTATTGTACTACTCATCAACAACAAGGAAAGTTTCTGATAAACAAATTTTCATTGAGGAAGTGAATGAAAATTATTTAAGAAAACTGTGATTTTATTTTTAAAAAAAAAATAATAAGCAAGCAACATTAGCTATTATTAAAATATATCATAAATAATTAAGTGATTCATTTATTGTTATAATCAAATTGGGAAAGAATCATAACAAAGAAAAACAGTTATGCAAAAAAGTACTAAAAATACATTATAATAACTGATAAAATTGGTTTACATAGTAATGCAAATGTAAAACATAAATAATTAATAAATACAAAATATGAAAATGGTCAATTTTTTTTATAAGCATTATATCAAACGCTAAACCTAAATATTTAAATTGATATGACCCGAGTAAAATATATAAATAATAAGTATTTAAGTTAAATGTATTTAAAAAAAATAGAGAACACAATTTAAGGAATTAGGTAAATTAATTATTAATACTCAATCCTTTCTAAGTCGCAATCTTTGATAAATGGCTTATTAATGAGAATAAAAAAGAAATTGTAAAAACAATAACAATTAGTAAGTTAAGAATGAAAATTATGTATTCAAATTTCAATGTTAATTAAAACTTTTGGTTTTTAGTCCTGTTTGGTCCTTATTGTTGGATCAACTCGAAAATTAATTTCTGAGTTAATACACTTTGCTAAAAATAAAATTAAAATAAGACAAGTATAAGTATGTTTATACTTTGCATGTGGGTGCAGCCACTGTTGTAGGTGGGAAGTTGGGAAGGTAGGCTACAGACGGGAGTTTAATGTACATCTGTTAACAACAATAAACCATTGCTAACGAAAAAAACGATTCTGAGCCAAGTTCAGTTGATATTGTTACTTTGTTAACAATACAATATATGGTATTATATCATATGATAAAATGGTTAAAACAATATGTGATTCCATAACAACAATAATTGTTTAAAAAAGATTTAAATAAGAACAAAAAATTGAGAATGGTTGTCAATGACTACCTTATTTTTAATCTTTCAATCTTTTTTAACCTAAAGATCGAGGTTTTTCTCATTAATATTAATGAGAATTTCAAAAAATGACCTCTTTAAAGTACCACCCAGAGAAAATTTCCTTTCAGAAAAGGTAATATATTTGATTATTAGAGTGTGCTTTCTGGTAGAAAGTGTTCACATAAAAAAAACAAATAAACGTCATTGTAAAACTAACACATTCCCTGTTCTACTCAGAATCTAAAAAATTGCTTTGTTAAATTATAATTGTAAAATGTATTATTTATAAATGTAAAATTATAATGTTGTAATATGAAAAATTTAATTTTATCAAAACAAAATCTGTTCAAAATACTATTAAGTTGTTGTTTTACCCAAACATAATTCATAATATCGTAGCAATGTAAATTCAGCCACTTATAATTGGCACAGAGATTTTTCACTTTGTTGTGCTGATCAATCACTTCCGATGGCTGTAGGATTCCTTTGTTAGTAGTTGATCGATTATCTCTAAAATTATTTCATTTTTTTTCATGACTTCAACATTCTTTAGTATATAAAACTGTACTTAAAAAATTTAAAGTGTTTATCATATTGAAATTGATAAATACGGTTACACTTCTTCCCCCAACATTCAATATGTAAAAGGGAACATTAGTATAAATAATGTTTGGTCGCCAATTCATTTTCCAACAACTATCAGCTTCAGCAAACTGAGCAAACACTTTAACGGTTGAACCAACCACTTTGAATATCTAATTGTACACAATTGGGAGTGAACTTAGTATACCTAACTATCATGGTTTAAAATTTTGTTACCCACTGATGATGACAAGTCTTTTCAATTTTCTTAATTTATGTCATTGTTTTTAACATAAACACAATACTGTACAACCAACAATGAATTATATGAACTAAGGTTAAACAAAATAAACAACTGATTTACTGAGTGAAACATATTCTTCAGAATTTTATTGAAAATTACACCATTTCTAAAAATTGCTAATTTTGGTTTTAATTTTTTTGATAAAAATTTAAGGTCTATCATTATTAAGAAAACTAACTCCCCCTCTACCCCCAATGTACCAACTAAACCAAATTTGATACCAAAACACCCCAATGCAATTTTTAATTAGAACAAGATTCCTGGTCAAAATATTGTTTAGAATATATATTTATAAAAATACATATTCTTCGCTACTGTTAAAATTTAAAATATGTTGACATTTTAAATACGCGGGAACTGTTTGTTATAATATTCTATAGTTAAAACCCAAGCAACTCATGACTTGTTTTACACAAAGAATATAATAATATTAAATATATTCATATATTACACATTCATGAGTTCTGTACTTTACATAATGTCCCGTGTGTATAACGGCAATACGCTGGACGATTATTTAAATACCGCAATATAGACATTTACATCCATGAAACGATAATTAATAAAATATTTAGGTAGGTAATAATTAAAATGTTAAAATACCGGTTGAAATTTAAAAAAAAATATCCTCGAGCTCCGTATAATATTAATTGTTCAATTTTAATAACTTCTAAACTAACTATGTACCTACCTAACTACTTTAGACTTTCAGAGAACTAAATTTCCATTAGCAATAAGTTAGCTGCCAAAATTATAACGTTATGATCGTTTTACTTTTGCAGGAATATCGGTAGGTAATTATTAAATTGTTATTGTAATCAGGAATAACTCTTGAAATTCAACCAACAACTCGTTAATAGATGATTAAAAATATTACATTACGTGACCTTTAGGGAGAAAAAAAAATCGAAGGCTAAATTTTAGATACGAAACTGATATACCTAAGTACTATGTAATTATTGTTACCTATCAATATGTTAATAAAATGTGCAATCTTCTTTATAGGTAACCCATTCTATCCAATTTCAAAACCTTAAAACCAAAAGGCACACTAATAATTCGGAAATACGCCAACTACCAAAACATCTTTTTCCCAAACGTAAAAAAAATACATCACCGAGTAACATTTGTTTTTAAAACTGTCAATATTAAAGTATTGACTTGTCCTTTATAGGTAAAACCTAGAATCTCGATTTTCATTTTCACCATTTTTATTGATTTCAAAATCAGAATCGAGTAAAACTGGAAATTAACATTTTTGAATTTCAACGAAATTATAGAAATCCGTAGTTTTTGTTAATTGATAATTGGATTGAACTCTGGCTTTATGGTAACGGAGAAAAAATCGAGAAATAAAACGAAGTCCATATCACAATGTGAATGTATACAGAACAAGGTATCAACCAACCGATAATTATAATTCAAATATGTTAATCATTTAATTTTTCCATTTTTGTACGGTTCAGATTTCGATATCAGTTAAAACCTAAAAAGTACATCCGTATAATTCCGGATTCTAGATTTGCACGGTTATTATTTTTACGCGCTTCTGATTCGGTATTGAAAAATGTTTTGGTAAAAAAAACCATTCCTCTTTAAATATACATTCCATAGACAAGCACACAAAATTATTTTACAAGTTTAGTCCGTTGATAATGTAATTTGCGAAAATCGTATAATCAAGCGAACAAACTGTACGCCGCGCCGTATGGAAATTAAAACAATTAATTTATAACCGAATTATTTATTGATTAATATATATTATTAATTTATTGACCATTAAATCGTGATAATTTTCAAACGGCAGTTTTCTCAATCTTTCTGTTTATGTTTAGCAATTTTATTTCACGTAATCGGTATTATTATCATACCGTATAATCGGCACGTTGCAGTTGGTGATTGTAACAATAAATAAAATACCTTCGGAATTTGTGCTTCACCGTTTTATGTATATTGCGAACGTTAGTATAATCATAATCACTCGATCGTCTATAAAAAACTTACTGTATACATATATAATTTCTGTGATATTATCGTAGTTTCCGTAACCTCCTTGGTGACGCTCAACGATAATACATAGATACATTGTCCTTGTGGTTCCCGCCGTGTCGCGCGCGCCCGCGGTTCTTTGTTGTTGGCGTGCGCGAATCGGGATAACGCGGTCGCAGTGTGACCAACGTTCGTCAGCGATGCGACGGCGGGGGTCGAAGTGTCGGGCCGACCGATGGAAGGGGAACGCGGCGGTCGGACCCGACCGACGATGATAGCCTCCCACCCCACCACCGACTGAACAGGACCGCCATTTGCGTTTACAGAGATTAATAATCGTCCGTGTGTGTGATAGCGTCATTTCGTGTGTACGCCGTATATGTGTGTCGTGGTGGTGTTCCCAGTCTACCGCCCGCGTACAGTAATCGTTTTCACGACCTGAGTCAATCATCGTTCAAATAATTAAATTATTAGGAACGAACAAGTAACCGAAGGCTGCGTCGTCGGTAGTATGTAGGTGACGATCGGTCACCCGAGTAAGTGAGAACATCTCTATAACCGAACAGGGAGCGATAACATCATGGACACGGTAAATGAAATCGTCGAAGAGACAACGGAAAACGAGCTTCCGACGCCGACCGTAGTCGTAACGACGCCGGTGACTTCGGACACCACGGTGACAACAATAACTACTGTGACTGCGGTAACTACAACTCTGAATAGCGAGACGGATCTCTATCAGCTATGCCGTCTGTGTCTAAGCACGTTGAAGGGGGACGAGGGCGAATCGGTGTTCAACAACCAAGTGCCTTCGCTACCGGAAAAAATCTACCGTGTATTCGGGGTAAGCGGCCTCGTGCCATCAACACAATATTACGTTTTCCGGTGTGCATTGGAAATATTATATATTCTAATAATAATAATAATAATAATAATAATATTGTTTATGGCGGTTCATGTTAACAGGAGGAAAATATTGTTAACAGATAATACGAGAAAATACGAAAACGTGATAATGCGGCGGCGACGACCGATAATGGCGTTGTGCGCGGTTTTTATCATCGGCCCGCGACTTTTTTTATTATTATTTTTTTCCTAATCATTATCTCGCTCGCAATGAACGCAATCGCGTTTTATCGCGCGAGTCGATCGTCGCGTACGGCGATACCCCGGCTCGTGAGAAAGGCCTGTTGGCTACGAAAATAATATCTAATTATTATTATTATGATTATTATTCTTATTCTCTTCGTTGGTTGTTTTTTTTTTTTTTTTTTTTTTTTTATCGGCCGCGCGGCAGCAGGCTGTCGATGGTGCCGTGCGTGCGGCGGGCCATATTATCCGAGAACCGAATGGTTCCGTACGCCGTCGGCGGTCGCCCGCGTTTCGCCACCGCCAAACCGTGTTGTAACGTCCGTACGTTACGTGTGTGTTATATTGATAATGGCCGACCGCCGTCGCCTGATAGGCCATTGTTTGCGGCGGCCCGTAATCACGCGCGCGCACGTACCGCCGCGACGCGCGCGTTTTTTCATGTCCGTGATTGCGTTGTCGATTCCCCGGCCGCCTCCGCCGAGTCGGCGCTATTGCACGTTTATTTATTATCGCTTGTTTATATCGTAATCAAATTATTACTATCGGTTTTTGTTCCACAACAACCGCGCCGCCCGTTGATATTCATATTGCGATTTCCGCCAAAAATATTCGTCTCTTTATTTGTATTTTATTTATTTTTTTTTTTTCTTCTATCCTTTCCTCTCTGTTGTACCGTACGTACGCATATTATTCGCTAACGATTTTCTTTCGTTTCGTTTTCTCGAGACCCTCCTCCCGCCCCGTCCCGTCCACGATGCCGTCGCCGCCGCCGCCGCACTCGCATATGTGTAGTATTTTTATTTTGTCGTCCCGTTCCTAGAGACGCGTATCCGTCGAACACTTCTCGCCCGCTCCCCACTCCGCACAAACAGGTTTTATTTTTAGACGTCCCGGTATCTCCTATGCTGCCCCTCGGTTTTTATTTTATTTTGTTACCTTTTTTTTTTTTTATCACGCAGGCTATTTTATCGTTGTGCGGAGTTTTTTTTCTCTTAATTTCTCTGTTTAAATCCTGATGTAATTTTTCTTTTTCGTCTTGGATGTACCGTTTTCATTATTATTTCTTATGTGTTATATTATAATATAATACACGGTCCATTTTCAAAAAAAATATTAATAGTCGGAAAAAAAATGATTCCAAATGTCTGGATGATCGTACACATCTGGTAAAAAAAGGAAACAATGTTTGGATTGTCTTAGCCAGGTGTTTCAAATAATATTATTGATTATTGTTGCATACCCATGGTTTATTTTGACCTGGTATGCCTACATCAATCAAATTTTGAACAGTTCGTACCTTATTTAATATTATAGGTACCTACACACTAATCATTTAATAAGAGTTACCTATAATTACTGCTTAAAGGTGATATTATATAGGTTATACTGAAATAAGTATAAAATTTATTAATATGAAATCAACTATTTTTTTTAATGAAATACATTTTTTAAAGTACATAGCTGCACAGATAATTACATTTTTAAACCCGTGTATTGAAACATTTAATGTGATTTTTTAGAACTTGTATAGCTACATTGAGTTTTATTTTTATTTATTTAGTTTTACATTTTTTTTTTATTAGGTACATTTATCATAATAGAATATGATTAAACTAAACCGATACCTTTGAAATAGGTAGGTACTTACCTAACTGTTATTCTTTCTATTATTAAATTTAAAGAATTTCATAGGACATTAATCCATAATTTGTTGTCTTTAATTAGTTAATTTAATTGCATCAGTTTAATATTGAACAGATACCAATTCGTGATACATCTATGTAAAAATTATATTATCAATTAAACTAATAATATAATATGCATTATCTGCACCTATTTAAAACATTAAAATTAATTTTGTATTTAACAATTCAGGTGCAAATAACTGATGCTAAGGATTTACCAAACAAACTTTGCTCAAAATGTGTGCAAAATACTGAACAGTGTTACAGCTTTAGAGAAACATACAAACGCCAAGAACGTCTTTTACATGACATGATTAAAAAACCAACAGCCGTAAGAATAATATTATACAAAATGAGAAATTAATACATTACTTATTAATTAATGTTATAATTAATAAAAACATGTTTATGTATACACAGGAAGAAAATAAAAACTCTCCAAATTCAGAGTACGTGTACAGTCCTGCAGATTCAAATCACTCGTCATCATCTGGTGTATCTTCTGACCCTCGTTACGTAAAAACTACTACTACTGCAAATAATATGAACAATATCAGTTCTAGTTCTCCGCCATATGAGACAAATGCCTCACTAGCTTCTCATGGTAGGTATTAAAATATAGTGCATAGTAGGATAGGTTTTATGTAGAGATGGGACGAACAAGATTTTGTGGTCAAATCAAATTGTTGATATTTGTACCAGACTGGTTTGAGATATTTTAATATAATGTTTATAATTATATTCTGTTTTGTATATTAATTCTCTGTCAGTGCTTATGCAGATTGATTCTTTTATCATGAGTCAGCAATTTTCTCTGGGAATTTGATATCTGTTTTTATTATTATATTTAGGCTTTATTTTAAAACCATTTTTAAATTTCCACTCCTACTCCATGTACTTAGATAAGTATATACTCTTGGTTTTCAAATGTGAATCTCCCTTTTTGGACACATATTTAAGAATATTTTTCTAGGCATTTTAATATACATTAATATCATTTATGAGTTATAGCAGTAATAACTGGCAAAGTGACAGATGGTAATAAATTATGTATTTATTTTTAAATAAAAAATTAATAACTCTTCACTACTCCTCTGATCTAAACTTCTTGAAGTTTGTTTGTCATAGACGAATCACCCTGTAAATATGAAAATAATAAAAGATTTTATTATAATATACACAGATCGATAGGAATTTGGGCAAATAAAATAAACATTGGATTTTTTTGATTGCTTATTAATTATAATTTGTCAGTATAATTTTTATTAACAATGAATAATAAAATACCTGCAGTTCAGAAATACATATTTTATTTGGTTTTTAAACAGTTTGTTCTAGTTAGATTCAAAATTTAGGTTCTTTATATTCCGGACAGTTCAACCCATCTCTAGTTATATGTATTTATATGTGTAAAACCTTTATTTATATATAGTTGAAGTTATTCAAGGGTGTGATGAAATGGCTGCAGAAGTAACTATTGCTCATGATTCGGAAGAAACTGTGTCTGGAGATGACACTATTTGTACTGATAACAATGCTGAATACGGAACATATAACGATGATGAAAATATTATTGTAGTTAAAACTGAACCTGATGACGATTATGAAGAAGAATAGTAAGTCCATGCAATTTAAAAAGTTTCTTAATATTAATAATATGTATTCGTTTTTGCAACTAAACTAATATATTTAATTAATTAATAGTAGTTACAATGGTTTGTATAGCAATAAAAATGAGGATGGTAATGAAGGCTATGACCAACAAGATGGACCAAATGTTATAGCTAGTGTACAATTTCCAATTGTAAATGGTACAATTGTTAATGGTACTCATAAAATTGGTCAGAAGCAATTTTCTTTAGTTAATTGTATTCCAACTTCTTGGGTAAGTCTCATAATACTTTTGTTAAAGGATATAGATTGCCATCACTATTAATTTATGTAATATTATCAGGCATCTAGTTCAAGTAAAGATCGTCGTAAACAAAGTTGTCCAACAAGAGCATTGGAATTAAGTGGTTTTCGGACACAAGTTGCTGGGGATGACTCATCAGATGAAGGAAATATACCGACAAACTGGACGACTAAAAAAATACGATCTAATTCACCTGCTGTTATTGTAAAGCCAGCATATGCTTGGCCAAATTTACAAGGTGGTGGCCAGACCCTCATATTTCAAACTAAAGTTAGTGTTAAAAATTACAAAGAAAATAAATGAAATATTAGCAAAATGGTAACATTTTTAATTTTTTTTTTTTTTATAGAATCCTGATGGTACAACATCCGAACTTCGTCCACAAGTAATGCAAGTTGGTGAATGGGCTAATAGTCAAGGTCAGTCAAATGCGCCTACTGATCCATCAGACCGCATGGGTATGTTATTATTTGCTGCTACTCATATTCAAGAGCTATCCACCGAAAGTGATGATGGTCAGTCTCCTGGAACACCCAAAGGTGCTACTGTAGTACGTGGAAAGTTAGTATCGTCTGAGCAAAAACGTAAGTTATATCAAACTCAAGCCACAATCAGACGGTATTCAGAAGGTCATCAAGTACAACAGCAAGTGAAAGACGTAAATGCTTCTCCAAACATACCTAGAAAACGCACTGTAAGTATTATTAACAGATCATGTATTTATACCTAATTTATATCTTAATTTTTTTTTAATTTTTTTTTAGGCAAGAGAATCATCAGTTCAAAGAATGTGCAGCAATTGTGGAACAACATGTTCAACAATATGGCGACGATTAAATGAAGATCCTGTTTGTAACGCTTGTGGATTATACTACAAGCTACACGGAAAAATTAGACCTCCAACCATGAGACGTGATACTATTCACACCAGACAACGTAGAAAACGATCAGACAACGGTTAGCATTCCCGCCTATTTTAATAAGCTAGAAAAAAAAAAATCAATTAATTTCCTTCATTATTTAAAAATCTAATCAAACTTCTGTTTTAAACAAATTTCGGACGTCTCCTTACTGTCTTAAACTAACAAAACTTCTAGTTACTTTAATTATTCACGTTGTGTAGTAATTTTATAGCTAAGTGCCAAACAATTGTATTTTTTTTTTTTTTTTTTTTTTTTTTTTATGGTACACTAATATATTTATGCAATCGCAGCACATTAAAATCTAAAATTAAGCGGTGGTGAGGACATTTATACAAGAATTTTGCGCTTGCTTTCAGGTAAGAATGCGGTATAAGTTGATAACGTTTCTTGTTTTATTATAGCTTTGTAATATGCTTAGATATTATTATATTTTTCGAATTAGAATATTGTTTACTTTTAATCAATAAATTCACCATTATTTTACTAACTTTTCATAAATAATAAACATAATAAACACATTATTTTTGTTAGCATGACCATAATAATTTTGTAATTGATAACATGTTACTATTCAACTTTGTAAAATTAAAATATTTAAAAATACTATAGTTTAGTGTTAAGTGTTTTTAAAGAAATAAGTTGTAAAAATAATATATATAGTTGTGGGATATTAAAGAGAAGATTTAGTTTATCAAAAAAATACTCTTACCTGATTAATTAATAATTTATAGAGTATTTTATTAATATTCTTAATTTCTCTAATCTATTGTTTATCTCGTAAGTATTAAAATAGTTACATTAATATCTGCAATTAATTGGTACCAGTAAATTATAGTTTATCAAACTTTTCATTATGCAAATTTATACTGAACTTTTTGTAAATACTTTATTTTAAACATTTAATGAAGATAAATGATTATAATATTCATTGTAAATTAAATTGGAAATATTATTAGAATTCAAAATATATGTTGTTTTAAAAAATTGCGTTATTGATGAGTATTTGGATTATTGTAGTTCATTTATAATTCTTGATTTGTAAGATTCATATAATTGTTACTATTACAGTTATTTGGTTGACATATCTAAATAAACAAGTAGAAATATTTAATAACTTTCTGGTGAACAGTTAAAATATTTGCTTTTTACTTTTTAATATTAGCAAGTGGTGGTTGTTATTATTGCTTAGCAGAGTAAACGAGGTAAATTAACTTAATAAAAATGTAGTATCTTTGTTTTTCTTTGTAATGCTTAATAGCAAGAGACTAAATTGTTAACTATCTATTTAACTGAAAAGAGAAAACATTTTGTCTTATTATTGGCATTGTAATAAATATTTCATTTTACAATTTAAAAATGTAAGCCAATAAAGTATTGTTTCTCAAGTTAACATGCCCACATTCAGTTCATTGTGGAGTCGTCCGAATATACATCAGAACGGTTAAAAGTACTTAAAAGTTTATTCTTGTGTAGGTATGGACATAAGCATGAATAAGAAAAAAATCAAAATTAAAAAACCAGAAGTTAAGTTAGAAGAAGAGTATGAAGTAGAGCAACCACCGTCGCCCAATTCAGCGGCAGTACAAACTATAATTGAAGAACCTGTACAAGATGAAACACCACTAAATCTCGTCAGCAAATAACGAGTGTGTGTTATACAAGGTTCGTCATATTCCTCGTTAATAACTTTTTTTCCTAATAACATGTATGTGTAATATAAGAAATAATTAAATTAAGTATTGAATCTATATTTGTGTTCTTGTACTGAAAAAGGGTTATCACAAGATTTTTTTTTTACACATGCAATATATTAACTTGTATTAAATCGTCTAATCAAATTGATTTTTGACTTGCTTATGTTTTGTAATCAAAATTAAATTATGATTTTATTATAAGAAATGTTTGAAAAAATGTTAATGTTCATATATAATATTAGTATTCCTTACCATTTTTATAAATGGTAATTTTTATAAATTTTTCAATCAATAAATTAACATTAATTTTCACAATTACATTAATTACTAACCAGTTGATATAAAAATTTTATTAGTTATTAAAAATGTTTATTATTTGTTAATAATTATTCAAAATGTATGTCTGGTACAATGTTATACTATGACAGTTTGAGCTCGGTGTTCGTAACAATCAAGGGTCCCCTTTCTTATATCATACATAAATGTCTACCTCCATTATAAGTTCTAAAGCCAATCTTTTTTTTTTTTATTTTTTTTTTTTTAAAAAAATGTATATATTTTATAATATGAATTCATACAAATTTAAAAATTAGTATTATATATAATATAATATTATTGATATTTTTATAGATTTTCTATTAACATTGTATGTATAGATATTCTGGTGAAAACATTGTAAATAATATAAACTTAAAATAATAGGTCATTTCGTTCAAAGGGTCATACATATAATTGAAAATAATAATAAATATTGTAGTACATATTAAATTTTAAGAATAAAAGTATTTCGAGCTTAAGTTTTGATAGGTTATTTGTTATGCATTTCAGTTGCATGGTTTTTTTTTTTTTCTTAAATAGATTAAAAGTTATTATTTTTATTCTAAAGTGGCCACAAAATAATAGTCCACCTGAAATTTGTATAATTGCGTATATATATTTGCCTTCACCAATATGGTTTCAAAAGTATTGTATTTTTTTTTTTTTTATATATATATTACTGTAGTACTAATATTATAGTTTAATATAAATGGATTAAGTTACGAAATTGATATTAACCATAATAATTTTTTTAATATAATGGCGACTGAGTTTTAATTATGTATATACATAGTATAGCACATGTATATATTTTTGTGATTTATTAAGTCCATCACCTATTTCAATTAGTATTGCATTGTTGCACTAATGATAATTAAAAAATAACAGTTATAACTAATACGTCTAATGTATCTAATGATACATGAATTAAGTTGGTATTTTTATATTGCACATTATGTTAATACAGAGGACATAAGATTATACAGTTCATAAGAAGTCGTTAAAGTATATAATGTTTATTTATTTTTACAAGTGCTTGATTAATAAAACTTAAAAGCAATAATTCCCTTTCCGTTAGTTGTTATATTGTAAAGAATATTTTTTAAATTGGTATCATGTTTAAATATATTTATTAATATTTTATAAACTTTTGTCTGTACTTATATATATTATTTTTTTTCGAAATCTATTTTAGAATGCATTTATATTAAGTCTGTAGAATTTTATATTTTTGTGACATTTGGTATTAAAATTGTACACTATTAAATAAATAAGTAAATCTTTAAAAAATATTATTTCCAACCATATTTTTACTTTAGACAGAGGTTAATTGTATGTTTTTATTGTAGCTCTTTATGAAGATTATAAGTTTAGAAATGTAACAATTTAAAATTGTAAATTATTAAGTAACAATAAAACTTTAAAAATATTATTTTATTAATAAAATTGTATATTATATATATATTATTCATATTGGATTATAATTTCCATCATTTTTTCCTAATAAGTTTTAAATTATATGTTATAACTATAACATAATGCTTTGTTAATTTTAAAAATTTAGTATGTACACTAAAGTGTTTAAGGGTCAGATTTGTGTTCTCATGTATACTGGTGTGCCATTTCAAAACAAACATTTTTGGTTTGAAATAATCACAGTGTTGAAAGCGATCATAAATATAAAATAACTCAACTATGTGTGCATACGAATAACTGAACTAATAAGCACACTAAAAATCTAATCACACAACTACATATTTGGTGATGTGAAAAGTGTACACACCAAACCAACTCTTTCTAATACTAACATTTTTGGTTAAAACAAATAGACCTATTATAAACCTAACTAAAATAATTTACTCTCAATTATGTTAATTAATATTATTATAACTATTTTACAATAATAATATTCATGTTATATATTACAATTGAATATATTAATATCAACTATTATATTTTGTGTGGTTATAATTATAACTTATCAATACTTTAAACTTATCAAAACAAAATATTGTAGCAAAATGAATTGTGAACTTGATAAAAAAAATTAAGATAGACCTCTTTTATTTATTATAATGAATTTAAGTTACATTTTTTTTTAACGAGTATATTTTACAGTGGAGTTTAGTGTTTAAACATATTATAATTTATAAATAAACATTGAACTATAATAGCAGTATGTATGTGTCACCATACTGATAGTATTACTGTCTAGAAAATCAAGTTAGCTGCCAGCAAATAATCATTAAAAGTTAATATTACTTTATGCTGTTGTTTGCATTCATGTATAACTTAATTTTATATATGATAAAACAGGTAGGTTTAGGTATATTCTTGCAATTAAAATTAAAAAATAATTTCTCATTTATAAAATAAACAGGAATTGAAGTATGATGGAGTTGTCATCTTATGAATTTGTTTCTATTGATAAATGATTTAATCTATCTACAGTTCTGAAAAGAAATACAATTTTTAAGAATACTGCTGAATGAAAAATTAGTATTAATATAGTAATTAATAAAATAGAATTTTCCTGTTCTATGGCCATCCTACGTTATCTATGGTTTTGTCACAATTTATATCACAACGTAAATTAATTAACATCAATCAATCAATATAAAATTACACTATTTACAAATAAAACTAGTAAAAATTAATTGCCATAGGTGGTGACTATCCTACCTATGAAATAGTTATTGTTTAGTATTTATTAATATAGGCAATAAATAATTATTACTGAGATTAACAATAATAAATAAAACATCCTAGAATAATGGGGATGGGTGCATCTACTGTTATAGGTAATTTAATGTATACCTCTAAGCCACTATAAATCATTGATTATGAAAAAAAACGATTTTGGACGAAGTTCAGTTAACAGTAATGCTTTGTCAACAATATATATGTCATGTAGTAAAATAATTAAATAGGCTTTCTATATTTCCTTCAATAATATTTATTAAATGTTGTACCGATTTTCTCAGTTCTTGACATTTGCCTGGAAAATTTAGGTAGGTATTTCATTAATGTTTGGGTTGAATCCATAAACAAAGGTCTTCTTTAGCTGCTTTTTATTATAAATACGAATTAATAATCACACCCTAGTCCAGAATGATGTCAGATAGAAACAACAGTTCAATGTGTTACTAAAATACCTACCTACCTGGGTAATTTTCTATTTTTGACAGTATTTAACAATCATCATACATTAATATTTTTTAATAACTAATAATGTTTAGTGTATTTTGTATTGTGTGTTTTTTTTAAGTTATCATAACTTAACCATAAGTAAAAATGTGAACTACTTAAAATGAAAAAAACATTTTAAAAAAAAAAAAAAGGACTAAGATCAATATTATGATTATTATACAACGAATAGACAACTTGGTAATATTATCATAAAACTACCTGGTGCAATAATGGACATTTCAATATTCGAATCGATGTTGCAGCCAAACCAGTTTTTCAAGCACAGCGCCTTCCGAAAACGTATATTATACCTACACCGCTAAATAAGTGGTCTATCAAAAATCTGACTAATCAAAGAATGAAAAAAATGTCTTGCATTTAAAGAATCAAATGTTTGAAATTTGTTCATCGAAATTAATTGTACCGAGTTGCCAACGTCAGACGACTTTTCTAATTGCCTTACAGAAATTAGCAGTATTGGCCAAACTATTAGCGTAAGACGGAAAATGGCTTAAAATGTCTAAATTAAGGCCCTAAAATTATTGGGCGACAGCCAATGTAGTAATGTGCAGTTCATGATCATTGCTCAATATATCTAGGTAGGCAATATTTTATTTTGTGATTTTTTTTTTTTTAAATGTTGACATTTTCAACACTATTATACTATCACTGACGTGGAATTTAGTGGACTAGGTACCATTATAGTGTTCTACAATAATTTTGAAACGCTGACCGCTATTAATAATTGTTAAGTATGGTAAGTAATACACTATAATACCCATTATACTTGGATAACTATGTAGTATGTGTCATGTTTCAAACGAACTTGTTCTTTTTTTAATCTCCGTTGTTCCGACAAACTTCGAACGGGACGCTTTTTGTCGGCCGTATTTATAAGATAGTCCTGTTATCTTCGTATTATTCTGTGTGTTATAGGTACAAAACGAATTTGATACAAAATATTGCAATAGATAAAAAGACGAGCAATCGTCATCAAAACTTGTAAGCGTTTAGTAATTAACTATTTTAACGTTGAAACTAAAAATTAAATTCTGGGTGTTCGTTCAATATACTCTGTCTACCCCACGTTTGGTGGTTTAGTATGCTATCTACTGTATATACCTGTATAAACTTTAATCATTTTCCTGTTAAGATTAGGCTTTTTACAACAAAAATGAATGAACTTTGAGTTATTTTTGTCGGTAGATAATTCAAAATGAAGAAATGTGTGTACGTTTTTTTAAAAAACCGGGATTAATATTATAATATTACCTAATGAACAAACACCTATGAAAAGCAAAAACCAAACAATTTGTGGTGGTGGATTTAATGACATTTTTAAAAATAGTAGGAAACGAGATTCAGAATAAATTGACAAAGTAAAAATACCGCATTATAAAGGTAAAGACATTTTTTATTTGTAGTTGGGCAGCATATTAAGTCAACACAAAATTACGGTAGGTAGATAAATATGCACTACCGAATTGTCAGATATTTGATGATTTATTTCTGATATTCGGTATTTACCTAATTCTGATGAACGATTGATCATTGATTAGAAGTTAGAACTAAACGAACCGCCAACATTAGTTACTGCTCTCTCTCAACGTTTCTCATTTGATCACGACTGAATTAAAAATATTATTAGAAATGTTTAATATCGGGATTTTAATTCAAATGACGCTCATACCTGTCTAATGATATAATATCTTACGTTTGTTTTATTTTTGACAAGAAACCAAATTTACAGTAGGTACCTACAGTTATTTTGTTTTATTCACTTACACTGCATTATATAGATACCTACTAGGTAAATAATATAGAGTTAATATTATATAATATTTTATATGTAAATATGTAAATTAGCGATGGCCGATGGGGTCTTCCCCCTCTCTACACGTATAGGTAGCCTCGATTTGGTGAACACGTTTCGTTTTTTTTTTTTTTTTTTACATATATACTTTCTAGTTTCTACTGCAGTACCGCCCCTCCAATAATAATAATAATTAATAAGCGAATAAAAACACGAGTAAATATATAACGGACGACGCGGATATGCATTTACACATTTTAAACCCGTTAAATTAGGCATATAATATATTATATACGGGTATTCAGGTAAAATACCCAGCTGTTATAATAATATTATTTTCTCGATTTATTTATAAAAACCCGCGATCAAAAAAAAAAAAAAGTATTGCAGTCGTATGAATTATGTGCATCAAAAACTTAAGTAGGTACCTACATTCATATCAAAATAACACTATTACTTATCTACGTACCTACGAAGTATTATTAAGTACTAAGGTACTATCATCTTTACAACATGCGTGCAGTTTTAGTATATTTTTATTAGGTATACGCCTACTATACCATACTTGTACCTACAATGTCATAATAATAATAATATTATTAATATTTTATGCACATCATTTGTGTTTGACCAAAACTTATAAATCCAGTAAAAGAACCAAGAATTTAACATTCTCATCGTAGATTAGTTCATTCTTATAGTTTCCTTTCAGTGGGTATACAAATTTATCTAAGATGGCGGCCGGGGAGGGGGGCAAGTTTTATTATAAGTATAGGTGCCTACCCATATTGTATAGGTATAAAAAAATATGTTGTCATACTATTACAATCAATTAATCAAATAACAAAATGGTTTTTAAGTTTTTAATTTTTACCCGTCGCCTGCAGTCGTGAATAGGTCAATGCGTTTCTAGGAACATACTGCAGTTACTTAAATCATGAACGGTGCGCATTTAATATTATTTAAGTATATTTATCTACTCGAAATATAATCAATCAAAACTCCCTCGGCCAATATTTAATTATTTCTGACTTCTGTATTTTATCTACGTTTTCATTGTTGCTACCTGTAGTCTAAAAATAATAGAAAAAAAACTACCTGCCTACGCAATTGTCAATACAGAATACAACATAATATATATTATGGTTAATTTTTAATTTTTTTTTTTTTCAAATAATCATCGCAATTATATTTCAATCAATTAGAGAGAAATTATTTTTTTTCCTACAAAATTTAATATTTGTTTACAATATTTGATGTAAACCATATCTATACATCGAACCAACGGTTTATTAATTATTTTGTATTACTTTACAATTCAAATAATAATGATTGGTGCACGTGCGAAGTGAAACGTTTGTATCCCCGTGACCATGCATCATTCTGAAACTTTAAACATTAAATTCGAACAAACAATACAACATTATAATTATACAACTTATTGCTCTTTAGTCAGGTCTTTATTAGAATATGCGTCTGTGCTCTGAGACCCATTTGCGGTAGTTGAATCTTTCCGTTTAGAGAGAGTATACAAAGACGTTTTTTGGCATCCGCAGCTTATATGCTGAAAATCGACGCATGACTACTATCCAGTCTTGCGCATGCTCGGCCTTACCTCCTTAGCTAATCGACGAGTTAGTAGTACTAATCTAGTAATTTTAAAATGATTCTATTCTTGCTCCCGCTTTGCTCTCTCAGTGAACTTTAAAATTCCTTCTCGTTCCACGAGGTCTCAAGTTCCTTTTGTTGTTTCTATGCTTGGTACCAACTATGGTAGAAACTAACCGATTGACCGTATGATGCGTCTAAGTAACGAGGACCCCACATATTTTAGTGAATTTTAATACTATTTCTTTGTAATTTGTTTGTGTAACATCATGTTATTTTGTATTTTTTTTTTAGTTACCATGTAAAAGTTATTGTGTTATTGGGGGCCTTCGCCCGTTAAATATATCAAATAAATAAATGAGACTATGTGTACCTACTCGATGGCGTATATATGGTTATACTCTCCAGTCTCCCGGCGTCCAGAGTAAGAAAAAAAAACAAATCTGCAAAATACTTCTCTTCGAACGTAAAATATAATCTTATGAACTGGCAAATGGCAATAATAATAATGTGCAGTATTGTTATGTCAGAGAAAGTAAAATAGATCTATAACATACTGCAGTTTATCTGATGTATTTCGTATACCATATAATACTATACCTAATACCTATCTAGGTACTATTTTTTTTGGCTTATCTAACACAATGCACATAATTTATAAAATATGATTTCAATATATATATATATATATATATATTATAGCATAATATATTATATTATACAAACATATATGTATTTGTATATAAACCTATCAATAAAATATTATCATATGTTTTAGATTCTGAGCTAGGCGACGAATGTACCTATTATAGTTTTACTGCGATGGGAATTTTACTTGTGCCTGTAAACAAGTTTCTACCAGGAATTTTGTTGCAATCATAAACCTTATAGGAACGTTTTTGTAGCATTTTTGATTTTGTTAGTGCATTAGGGTTTGGGGAAATCGATTTTATTTTTCTTAATAAATTGTTAAAACTGGACATTTATATCATTATATATTTATTATTTATTTTATTGCAATATGTGTTGATTTCTGGGTTATTATGGCAACAATGGATGAAATACGATTAATATTACTCTGCGCGCAGATATTGTTTAATTACTCTACAATGTATCCACACTTTTAACTTCACTCCTTAAACATTGGCGTACTCATCAGTAGTGTCATCTTTTTGTCTTTTTGTTTTGTTATTTTGTCTTAATATTTTACTCGACGATTTTCGAATGCTGTCATGATTCGTGATCATTCGTCTTAAAGGTGAATTTCGAAGATAATACATTGTAGTTCTCGCGAGCAACACGAAACTACTACCTAATATCCAGTCTCAGCATCCTGTTCCGCTTTTGTAAAAATTCGAATTAAACATAAATAAATTATTGTTTGAATAGTGTATCGTAATATAGTTACCGGATAAACAGGTTTAAGTACAGAACCTACCAAATTAGTTTTTGTTACTATCTATCCGTCATTATATTATGAGAAATATTTGGTATAGGTATAATAATAGTACTGTAGTTAATATTATTATAGTGAACCCATATAATAATAATAGTGAAAAAAGGCAATTCACCATTCCTATTCCTATATACCGATAAACGAAAGCAATTATTTTATAACACTGTGGTTGCATTTCAAATAATATGTTCAAACATAACACATAAGTAAGGATAGCGGGCAGTTGTTGGAAAATTATAAGAACAAACAATGATAAGGATAAATAATATACCGAAAGCCTAATTTCTATAGGTACCTACATATATATTTTAAATTAGTAAATTTGAATACTAAGTATAACTATATATTTTAGTTGTAATATTGCTTTGTCTGGAGTCGGATTATGGTAATATTAAATGTATATTAATATATCTAATATTTTAAAATTTACCTATATATTTACCGGTACCGAATCAATTTTTGATAGGTTCCCTTTTCGATTCTACTCTAATTAAAGAAATCATTAGACTCATGGATATACATTCCTGAAAATCCATTAAGACGCTTAACACGACGCTGATACCTCAGTAGCGTATCTGACTGAACTCTATGGGGGAGGGGGGAACAAAAGCCGATTTAAGGAGAACGAAGGGTGCTTTATAGGACTAAAGTACCCCGAATGATTTATGCATTTAATTGTATTTCTTTGAATCTCATCCCCTTCAAAAAAAAAAAAATCATAGATGTGCTCTGAGAGTTAAAATATATCGTATCTACCTAATATAGATATTTATTTGTTTTACAAATAATATTAATATCATATCATATTATATAATTATATTCAATTTTTGTCATACGGAAGAGATAATGAAATAATTCAGGAAAAATAAATAATTTGAATATAATAGTAAACAATTTTTGTAATTTTATTTTAATACATTTTTAGTAATATGTACTCAAACAAATTGACTAAAGGGAAGGGGAGGCGATCGCCGCCATCGCCCTTCCTCAAATACGCCTCTGCGATACCTTTTAAATAGTTAAAACATTAATAAATTAGTACCTATGTCCTAGATGGATTAATAAATTACACAAAATTAAAAATACGTGGACGTGAACGTGATATAATCAAAATGATTTATATATCATATACATTTTCAGAAATAGCAACGATTATTTTTAAAACAATACCAATCATATAAAAATGTATTACACAACGATTTTTAAACTCGTAAGTTTAATATTGTATTAGGTAAGTTAAGTAAGTAATATTGTAATAATAATATAGTGTGAACATTTTTATCAACGAAATTAGATACCTGTGAATTATTTTTAATATTTTTTATGCATGCAATGTTTTTTTTTTTTAACAAATCTGCATAATATTTAGAAACAAAATGTGTAAATATTTTAACTGTTTTGTTAATACATATCGATTATGTAGATATTCAAACTAAGTTCAAAATTTTTCAACGACTTTAAATTGTAAAAACACGATCGAATATAATACGATTGAGCTTATACTTTTTTAGCAACATGATTGAGCATAGAATATTTTATGCGACGTTGCCACGTTCGCGTTACTGAAAATTTGTAATTTATTATTTTGACGTATTGTTTTTACCAACACCTAATATTATGATGATACCAAATTTAAACGAGCCACGACCTATAAGCCGAATCCAGCTATATCAACAATGTTATCGATAGCAATAAATGTAAGTTTTATCCGAAATATACTGATATATTATAGATGGTTATAGACATATAGTAGTGAGTGTTTGATCGCCTATAGTCGTGTCACATTGTGCGTTAATTATTACTATTATCAAACATGTAAATTAACATATGACACATATTATATATTAACATATATCGTGTTATTTTATAAATCATATTATATATTGTAATTTTTATTATTATAATTATTTAAATTAATATTTTTTTTGTATAATATAGTTCAAAATTTAAAATGGCAATATCGCAGTTTTATTATGGTTATTCGTGTAGGTTTTCTTCTGTATTTCTATTCGCCAAACAATTTGCTCAATCGTGTCATAACCCATTAAGTAAATGTTTTTATTATTGTTATTTTAGATCCTGAGCGGAGCGAGGAATGTGTTGGTTTTATAATGATGTTTATTTATTTTTTTAAGACAACTTTTCTACCAGTAATTTTGCTTCGATTTTCAATGATTTCTGAAAGGAAATTGGACTGGGGAAGCACTTTAAGGAAGTCATTTTTTGATCTCCGCAGAAGTTTTCTCAATAAATGAGAAAAACCGGGAAAACCTTTAGAAAACAGGAAAATAGGTACAATATTATACAAATATTATTAATGAAAATATATAATTCATTTTATATAATTATTTTTCCATAACATGACATATATATTGTAGACAAAGAAACACTATCAACTGAACTCTGCTCAGAATCTTTTTTTCGTTAGCAATGGTTTATTGTTTCTTATAGATATACATTAAATTACCTAAAACAGTGATAATTTGATAATTGATAATTTAATCTTAAATAAAAAAGGGAATCCCGTCCACCTCACTTTAACCACTGTTTCTATGTATCAACCTGTTATTTAAATACTGAGTTTTCTGATTATGCTCTATTATGTTCTAAAACTAAATTTAAATACATATGTATCTAATTTGAAAGTTGTGAATTTACGATCATTTAAATTTTAAGTGTTAGATATTTAATAAATATAAGTATATTTGATAACTGTGTGTCTGTGTAAAGTATTATTCTAAGTACCTATGTGAAAATTATTAAAAACTGCACGCACGAGTCTGGGAGAATTTTATCCCATAAAAAAATACACAAGATATTTTATGAGAAAATAGCAAAACACTTGCTACATATATCGTTTAAATAAATTTGATTTTGTTATTTTTAAAAACGTTAAATAAAACTTGGGTTGTGCGGTTTTTCGTTACCCGTTCTCGTTAAAGTAAATTCTTTATTACATTATACATAAAAGGGGCAGCTATAGATATAATAATGACATTTAAACTGGCAGTTGTATCCATCATATAAAATGCCAAGGCCTAAAATAATGGAATTCTCTAATGCATTTGACAAATTGAAATTAACGTATAAGACCACTAGGGCATGTGATTCGCATACATAATACGTGGTAGGTATACGTATAATAATATAGATACCTATAAATTATGACGAAACAATTAATTTAGAAAATTGTTTGATAAATAAATCAATAGCTAAACAATTACATTATACAGGAAATTAAATAGTAAATTACTATATGAATGTATACCGTATTTCGTACTGTATAAATTGTATTATACGATTAGAGCGGTGTTAGTTAATCGTTGTTTTAAATAATATAATTAAACAAGTAGGTATTTATTTGTTCAGATTAATAGTAGTATAATATGATTAATGTGTTAATGTTTATACATTTTAATCCGCTTAAGTCATGTGTGTGTTATAGACTATTGACAGTGTAGGTACTAAAAATAAATACATTTTTTAGATTTATTATAACTCTTTCGACTTTATTATAATATGAATGTGATATTTCAATAGAGTAACGTGTATTCATATATATATATATTTTAAGAGCGTATCTATTACCTATAATGAAGTTGCATTTGTTTTTCCCTAAGTAAGTGTAATTTTATACCTACTTCAAAATAGAAAATCAGAAATTCCACAATGTCAGGTATAGGAATCTATTATCTATAGTTATCTATTCTATAGTGAAATTGTGATAATTGATTATATTTAAAAACTTTGTATTTTTGTTTTATTATAGTTAAAATATAGGATACAAAATGTTTATTTAGATATTTTCTGGTGTAATCAACACAGTAAGTAATAATTGTAATGTTTTTTTCCCGCTTTAAATCATGTTAAATATAAATTTAGATGTACATGTTACATCATCAACATTTTGTACATCACGCCCATAATATTATTATAAATATTTATAAGATATAAGCGCTTACATATTTTTAATACATTTAAACTTTTAATTTCACGTTTATGTTCGTAATAATTAAAAAAGCAAATATATGCTTATATAAATTTGTAATATCATAAAATAGAGTGAACAAAACAAAAAACATACCTACGTCTAATTTAAAAGTGTAATTTAGTTTCAAAAATATACAGTTATTACAATTATTGTTTTTTTTTAATTGCTTGGATGAAAACGCTTGAATTATATCTATATAAACTAAAATTTTAGTTAGTGGAGTTTCAATTGCTTGTCTATTCAGTCTTTTTGAAAATATATAGATAATCTTACTCACTACGTCTAATTAAGGACTATCCTTATAATTCAACGTAGAGTAGAAAATAAACATTTGAACAGTTGAACAGTTTGATGTTAAATTAAATAAGAATATCTGTATTCCTTAAAATGACATAAATATATGGAAAAATTACTATAAAAAAAAAATTATTCGTTTTTCTTTTAAATATTAATCATTTCTAACAATGATTTTTTTTTTTGAAGGATATTAGTAGATATCAAATACATTTCATTAAATCATTATATTTATATAAAAAAATAAATATAAATATATATTTTATTTTATATTTTATTATTATATATAAATATAGCAACTTACATCTTCATGTGAAAACAAATTACCGCCCATGAGTAATCGCCACCCCTTTATTACTTTGCTGTTGTTAATACTATACTCATAAGTTTAACCTAAAATAATTAAAACTTAAAATGTATCAACCAATAATCAATACATTATAGCTTTTCATTATTTGAGATAATATATAATATTGTGCACGTTTTACTCATATTTTACGTCATTATAATATAATGCCGATAATAATAACTAGAGTTCAAACATCGTTATAAATTTGTTTTATATTATGTAGAATTAATATATGCACGAAATTTATATTTTTAAATGCGCTATTTTGTCGCTTAGATGCGATTAGTTGGAGGCTACAGGCTAGGGATACTTAGCATCCTTATACTTATTTTTTTAGTCCTCCCAAATTACCAAAGTCTTGTTTAATTATGTACTTATTCAATTATAAGTTATAACAAATAAATTAAAAACTGAAAATTGTATTATAATTACATTTACTACCAATTGAAAATGGGAGAACAGCTTTAATAGTTAGATACTTAATTAATTTGTATTTATATTAATACAATAATATATTTTCTTTAAGTAAAGACAATTTGTTACAAGTTTATTAAAAAACATTCTTAATTATTATTATTAAAACCTTCGTAAATAATGTAATTTATATTGTAAGATTTGTATAATTTTAGTTCCTCTGAAATTTAAAATCTAGATGCTTATGTTTTTGGGATCTTTCTTTTACTTAAAATGTTTTTTTTCGTTATTAATATTTTGTTTATGAAATACGACAAACATATATATATATATATATACATGTATTTAAGATGCTAATTAATAGGTACCTATATTTTTTGTTATTATATTTGTATGGTATCTAGTCTACACTCTAGATTATTATGCCTAATTAAAATTCTAAGTAGTGCTATTTCAATCAGTGGTCACTTAGATGGTGTCCCTAAAAACAAATAACATTTTAAACTCAGTTTTTTTTTTTACCACAAAGTAAAATTTAATGAACCTCCTGTTAAATTTTCAAGCATTTTTGTTAAGTTTAACAATTGTACCACAGAGTACCTACCAAATAAAAATTACGTACAAAACTCGCAAAATTAAAGTTTCTATAAATAGCTGTAAAATGTATGAATGTATACTTTCTACAGACATTGATTTAAATAACTAAATATAGTTTTCATTTTTCGAAAATTGTTTTTTTTAATTTCTATAACAAATACATTACTAGTATTGCATAATATACACAACACGGAGGTTAGTGACATCTGCAGATAATGGAAAGTTGCGAATACATTCATTACTGTATATTATATAGTATATAGTCTATAGTCCTATACTATCTTAATATATTATTTTAATTTTTGTTAGCAACTTTATTTGTACAAATTTTCCATGTTGACCGTATAGTTTTCAAATTGTGTATGCATTTATGTATAAACGTAATTTTTACTTTACATTGCTTCGTCCACTTATAAGTGTAAGTGTAAGGCCCTTACATCTCTTCATAAACATAAATTCAATAACTTATTACTAATTTACAGAACAAAAAAGAATCCACATACAATAATACTACTGCGGGTTACGTTTTTGATTGCATATTTATTTATTTTTATATATATACAATATTACATTATAGGATATTCATGACAATATCTAGGTATTCAATTTATATTTATTTAATAATAGTTTCTTACTTTCGTAAAAAAAATAAAAATGATTGTTTTTAGATTTTGGTTAAATTACTTACTTTATTATTACACAGGACAATAGTTAATAATTCATGATTTTTGAAAATTGTATTATTTACAAAAAGAAACGCACCGTTCTTTCGTTTCAATAGAAATAATTAGTAAAAGACCGCTAGAAAAAGAGTGGAGTTCCGCCCCCTGTCCCCCCAAATTCGAGCACTGTCCTAACTCGTAATGACCAAATGACGATCATATTATTAATATGCTGATTGATTTAAATTTAATAATATTATTACTAGTGTTCGTCGTACGCATGTTTTATATAAATTTAGTACGGTCTTTAACTGTTAAAAATGCGTATATATGAGTAAATAATAAAACGTTTATATTTCAACAATATTATATTTTCTTTATTTTAAGAACTTGGTAATTTGCCCGTTTTATAAATGTATAACGTTCATCATGCGTATGTATCTATATAATATACATATATATTATTATAATTTGTAAAATACTAGAGTAGGTAGTTACCTATAATTCTGAATAAAAATTATTAAAACAGTTTTAAAATTACGTTGGCCAATATACCCGTTTCAAATTGGTTGATTTGCGCGTTGGTCAATGAAGCTGTCGTCTAAAAACTGTTGTATATTTTATATGTATCTATACAGTTGCAATCAATTATAATTTGTTTTTAAAATATTTTTTATTTGTTGTCATTTTAATTCAATTTTAATTGAATCATCGTTTTGGAAACCTTGGGTGGTTGTCGCGAATCACCAGACATCTGTGTTGTATACAGATAATTATTAATATTATATAGTTTGAGAATTCTTGATCTTTTTTCTACAATACGTATTAATAACATAATTTATAATAATACCAGTGGCGTGTAGAACATTTTTTATACTTGAGGTAAAACAGAAAAAAATAGGACCCACCCAATCAAAACATACATTTTTATGAATGTCCTACAAATTATTACAGAAACAACATATTATTATTTAGCTATATCGACTACATAATATAAGCTATCATATAAGTAGATATATTAATATTAATATAATATAATACGCAAAACTAAAGACATTTCTGATATCTAAACTCTATCTTAATCAATATTAAAAAGAAAAGAAGTCTACAGAAAAAAAAAAATAAAAAAATAAGCATCATTGTAAAATCCATACGCTTCTTCGCTCCACTTAGAATCTAAAAGTGTATTTCTTCTCTATACATTTTTTTTCGAATAAAAATAAACTAAGTATTCCAATAAGATATAATTGATTTATATAATTAAGTTTTATATAAAAATTAAAAAATATT